CAGGGATGCTGCTCGCTAATTTTTAAATTAGGTATCCTTATGCAGGTCGTGGGGACTTAAAAAAAGAGTCACAGAACTTAGAAGTAGAGAAGGCTTCAAACCAGAAGATCCAAGAAGACACAGATACCATTAATTAAGATGGGGAAAACTGAGGACAGGCTAGTTTGGGTAGGGAAAATCCAGGAGTAAAATGTCTCTAATTGGGCTGATTTACTGCAGATGACTACTGAGTACCCAAGAGGACATGCTGAGCAGAAACTGGACACATGAGTGTAGCATACAGGTCAAAAGCAGTGACAGGTATTTGGAAGGATTTACACACATAGTTCTTAGATGGAAATCAGTCACTCAATGAATGAGAAGAGGTCTACAGGCTGGGCTGTAGGGTATGCCCACTTTTTAGTGAGAGGAAAATTAGGTTGTGACAGGAAAATGCCTCAGTAAACAAAGTCGATCTTAAATGCCTACAAGCCTAACTCTTGTAGAATGAAAACAGTCTTATCAGTTTAGAAATAGCATACAGAAAGCAATTCTTTTATTCAAGAGTGAAAGGCAACCTACTATATTCAGCTAGCTCTGTCTTTCTAGGGAAGGAATATTAGAAAATAGGCAGGACTGGTGTTAAAAACTCTCCACTCAAAGGCACGTCACATGAGAAGAGACATGTGCAAGGGAAACCCAATTTACAGGGCAAATCAGGATACTATTAGAAAGGAAATAAGGGCTACTGGAGATTTTCTGTTTGGTAACAATATAACATAGAACTGTCCTGGAAGAACTGGTCCTTCTGTTTTTTTTTTTTTTTTTTTTTTTTTTTTATCAGTAAGTCAAACTCAGTTAGCATCTGATGAGGACTTCCAGAAGGACGGAATGCACAATTCTCATACACGCACAGAAAGGAGCTCTCAGACACAGTCCAGTCAAAGTTCACACGGTTCCTCTCTAGAGTGTAAACTATGGCTGCTAATGACAGGTGTAAGACAATACTCACTCAGCTGGTGGTACACTGGTTTATGTAATCCTTGAAGTTTTTTCGAGGCTATAGCTGCAAGTTTGCCAGGGGGCTGCATTTTGCCATCTAAGAGATACCACATTCGAGCAAAAGTGGCCCATTGCTTGAAAACAAAAAGATGAAGAAAATTCTAGTTAGAATGGAAATAATTAAATACATCATAACATGCCATCATGTGTTGCTACAGCCATATCGGATGGAAACGGCAGAAGTCATAAAGCCAGTACGGCTGCTTGATAAGGATCCGGCAAAGCTGAGGCACATGATGGCCACTGAGGCAACTTTGGTTTTCGTCTCCACCTGTCGCATCCTGGGGAGACTTTTAATATTTGCACAATTTAGGGATACTGGATTGATGGAAAATTTCTTATGAATCATTTATGCCTTCTCCCAGGAATGCTGCTTTTAAGCCTTCCCAGGACATACTATCACCCAACTCCTCTGCTTCTAGGGAGATATCCTTATCTACTTGAAAGTCTTCCTTATGCCTTGGAGGTTATGACACACATAAAGAAACCAGAGGTCGGGGCGGTGGTGGTGCACGCCTTTAATCCCAGCACTCGGGATGCAGAGGCAGGCAGATTTCTGTGAGTTCCAGGCCAGCCTGGTCTACAGAGCAAGAGCCAGGAAAGGCGCAAAGCTATACAGAGAAACCCTGTCTCGAAAAGCCAAAAAAAAAAAAAAAAAAAAAAAAAAAGAAACCAGAGATCTCTTTATAAGGTTATAAGACATTCTTGAAACATTTGTCCTTGTACTTACCCAGGAACAAGATACTCAAAACAAAGTAAACTCAAAAAGGTTAATAAGATTCAGTGGGCTAGAGGAATTAGTCACAGTTCAGATTACAAACCTCTTCCCACTGTACACTCAGGCAATTATGTGGCACATACAGTAACAAAGTTAGATTAACTGAAGTTACCCTGCCCTACATAGGTACTTATACTAATGGGCAAAGAATGGAGGGGAAAGATGATAAAAGAATGAGATGTCAGGACCTCCCTTTCTTATCAAAATTAGCACATGCAGAGTCACTGTGGTGTCAAATGACCAAGGAACAACAGAATGTCAGGATCAGACACATAGACAAGCTCTATAAAGGTATAAAATGTAAACATTGTATTATGCCAGAATTTAAATAATAACAGCAGCAGCTTTGGCTTGAGGATTTTTCTTAGGCACTCTGACCATTAAGAGTTAATAATACGGCCGGGCGGTGGTGGCGCATGCCTTTAATCCCAGCACTCGGGAGGCAGAGCTAGGTGGATCTCTGTGAGTTCGAGGCCAGCCTGGGCTACCAAGTGAGTTCCAGGAAAGGCGCAAAGCTACACAGAGAAACCCTGTCTCGAAAAACCAAAAAAAAAAGAGTTAATAATACAATGCTTGGGACATGGCAAAATGCCTGGGATTGCTTCAAGATTTTGTTTTAGTTTAGCATCCTTGAAGCAACCACAGCTACCAGCCTGAGAACAGGCTGTCATTTGCCTCTAGATTCTTAAAAATTGGGTTGTAGGGTTAATAAGTGAAAATGATAACTGTTTATTAATGATGTCAAAACTTGAGTTTTGATTGGAAATGATAACTCTATTCTGTCATAGTTTATCAACGATGACTAAAAGATGAGCAAGAGAAAGTGAAACACATGTCCAAAACCAAAAATGATATGGTCTATGTTTTGGAACAACATGAATGTATCCCTGCTTATTGAATTCTAAGCACTCTAGCTGCTAGTCTGTCAGGCTGCAAGATCTCCCGACCATCATGGCCTAGCTCACTTCCCTCACCAACTCCTTACATCTTCTGCTGGGACCTGTCCCTTAGGAGATGGCTCCCATCAGAGTAGAACAAGCTACAAAAAGATATGCTTCCTCTCTGTCCATCCCTCCTAAAACAAAACTAAAAATTGTCCCGTGCCTGATTCCTCCCGTTGCTGCTCTTGCATCCACCCATCTTCAGACCCTGTCCTCATCAGGAGCTAGACTCAGGCAATAGGTATTCTACAATTAAGCCAATGATTACTTTGAAAAACAGACTATGGTTAAAATTTGTGTGTGCGCATTCTGTTTTCACTGCCAGCTCTAAGGTCTTTTCTCATTATTGTATTGAGATAGTACATTATACAGAAAGTTGAGTGGCTAACTAGCAAGTGAAGATAATTCAAGACCTCAGTTCTAGGAGAGTGAAATACAACTGTGCAATCAGAAAAGTATAGCTGAACTTCAACATTTCTGTGTATGTGTGTGTGTGTGTGTGACACTGGGGCTTGAGGCAAGCATTGAGATACATCACTAGCCCCCTTTTAACGTCTTTGAGTCAGAGTTTCACTAAGCTCCTCAGTTTGGCCTTGAACTCACTCTGTACCCGCCAAAGACTTGAACTTACAACCCTCCCACTTAATCCTCCAGAATATCTGGTATTACAGGCTTGTCTTCAATAGACATCTTTAGGTCTTCAATATCTCCAAACTAAGAAAATTATCTCTATTCCAGACAAATCTTGACCAGGTGCTTTCATTATGCATACACACAGAGATTATATGCTAGAAAAATACAATTCAGCTTGTGGTTTCACATTAGTTATCCTCAACTTTAAACTAGCCCATGCATATGCAAAGACAAGTTTCCCCCATCCCATGCAGACTAATACTTAAAACAGTTTGATAAACAATACAAATACTGCCACAATGTCAACCCGCTGCCAAAGTTTAAAAATGTTTACTTTCACATCCTGTATTTACCTCTACACAGACAGGTAGGAACTACACTTAAAGGAGCCGTTCTTCAAGTGACATTAGGCTAGTTTAACCTTGGATTAACATATAGAAAACTAGTTCTTTCTTTTCTACCTAAAATCTGCTTCGGTTTCAGTGTTCCCTATAAAACAGCCTTCCGGTTGCCCAAACCAGAATCTTTTAATGTAATTCTTGTTTCTTCTTTCACCCACATTCAATCTTTTAACACATACTGTGGGCTTTTCAGCACTCCAGTGTTTTAGCCTGGCTTGTGCATGAGTATCTTCCGTGGTATACTAGAATAGCAATTCAAACTCATTTTCCCCTTTTGTCCTTCACAGATCTCCATCTGTGAACAGTCTGTCTTCCACCTGACAGCCTGGGTGCTAGGTCCTTTTAATGCCTAAAACTTCTAGGTCAAAACCCTCCAGCAGGTCCCCATTCTTTTCTTCTTTTGAAAGTCTCATGTAGCGCAGGCCGACTTCAAGTTCGCTATGTAGCTGAGAAGAATGGCCTTGAACTTCTGATCTTTCTTCCTCCACCTCCCAAGTGCTAGAAGAATAACATGCGTGCACCATAATGCCAGGTTTATGTCTTGCTGGGGATGAAACCCAGGGCTTCCTGCATGCTAGACAGGTACTGAACTGAATCAGCCACAGCTCCACCCTTTCCCCTTCCCCGCCAGCCTCCATTGTACTAAACAAACATCTTTCAATGGTTTTCACTGCTCCATGTCATTCAACTTATTATCTCACTGGAATTCTCTCCTAGGACTCTCTGCAGGGAACAGAAGACACGAGATGGGGAGGCTGAAGAGAGAAAGGAGTACCCAGACAAAGATATCAAAGCGGTGGCCTGAGTCACAATCCTCTGGTATGTGTCTCCCTAAGGCGCTTGTCGGCCACGAGTGTCAGCTTCCCTGAAGGTTCACTAAATCCCCGTGAACCACCGCTCTTCATTTTCGCCAGCGTCATGAGCGCACCACCACGCCAGACGTGCGCGAGCTCACCTGGGGCGCCCTAGAGAAGCTGGACATGCTTCCCCACTTGCAGCGTCCTCTGGTTTCCACTCGCCCAGCCGGGGCACCAGCATCACCCGTCCGGCCGGAAACACCGACAACTGAGCACGACGGTTCCTACTTCCGGCGAGCACTCTTCTGCTTCTCCGCCACGCTCCGGTCCCGGACCTCCAGGAGCCGTTTCGTTATGACATGGAGCAAAGAGTGTGGCTACTGAGAGATTAATTTCCAAAAATAATGGGCGGAAAAACCGACCTAGGACATTATTCCCGGCCCACCTAAGCGGCAGGAAACCGGAAGTGCGCGTTGCGCGCGGCTCTTTTGAGACCTAAAACTGAGGCTGAGCGCGAAGAAAATGGATCGGTACTTGCTGCTCGTCACCTGGAGGGAAGGAAAGTGTCGATCGGTGGCTGGTGGGGAGAGCCAACCCGGGACTGAGGCGGCGTCCCTGGAGAGCGCCGAGAAACAGCCTCGTAAGCGCTGGGCTGAGAAGAGGCGGGAAAGACCGGCGGGGAGGCGAAGGGATTTGAGTTTATGTTGAGGTCCCAGGGGGAGGAGCATAGGTCAACTGGTCCCAGGAAGATGCAACTCTCAGAAGAAGTTTTAATAAAAACCGAACAGTATTATATTAATGGAAAATATATAAAATTGTGGGTATTGGATCCCAGTGCGCCAAGGGCTTGGCACATTGAATGTTTAGCTGGTTGAATCCTCTGGTAGTATAGTAATCGATTTCTGCTTTCTGGAAAGGTAAGCCTTTAGAAAGTACATATGCCTCAGTGTTCCACCTTGAAGAAAATACAGAAAGAAACGATAGAGTCTGCAGATCTCGGGCTACATTCTACATTCACTTTTTTTTTTTTTTAAGAAGTGTCAAATTTTAAGCGATTTTTAGCTGCTTTTGATTGTATTTGCTCTTTGATGTCTCGTCTAGTCTCTATATTGCATTTTCCATGTTTTGATCAAGCAGACGTTTTGAGGAAGAAATGTATATGTATACCACTTTGGAAGGAAGTTTTGATTTTTTGTTACCGACTAGCATGTATGAATCAGGAGCCTTGACTATTTTCTCTGCTTGCTCAAATTTATCAGCGCTTGAGTAGAATCTTGATCCCCAGGTATTCTGGGCTTCAGATTCTCTAATAGTGAAATTGAAACAGACCTAGATTATGCTAACTCTTGAGCTTTCTGAGTTAGGTGACTGAGTTAGGTCTTTACTTTTACAGACTTGACAGCATCCAGTATTTATCACCTCTTGAAGAGAAGCATCAACGATTCAATCCATCCAGATGATAGCACATTTCCTGGTAAGTGTAACAGTATAACAAAAGCCTCCCCCCACCCCTAATCTGGCACAACATTTTACTGGGTATTAGTTTGACAACTGAGGAATATAAGAAATACTTGTTGACTTTTAATAAGTCACAGGGATATGGAGATATCTTAAGGAAATACTCAGCTATATTACCATTCCTTTCTGGTATTTGGATGTTGTAAGTTGTTACAAAAGTTACTCTGGACTCCTACTTTGAGTTTTATTTCTTTCATGATTCCCCCCTCCCCCATCTTTAGGTATATATAGCGTAGGGTGATGTGGCATTGTGAAGAGGTTCTTGCCTTGAGTAAAGACACATTATTAAAGCTCCCACATTGACTTTACCACTTATTTGTGGATTTTTTTTCCTCCTGTCCATTCTTACTGATTCTTTTAAAACAAAGACAAAAACAACTTTGTACTTGCCAAAGACAGTGCTCTTCTCCTCTTGATTTTACTTGTGTTTTTGGTAAGAAATCTTTCCTCCCTTTAGCGCTATTGGTATTTTACAAACACGTCTATTTGCTTTAATAACTTCCTTTTCTTTTGCTTCTTCTCCATCTGATAATGTTCCTTAAAGACTCAGAAAATGAAAATATGAAAAAATTCTAAAGGCTGAAGGAAATGTCCGTAGATGCCAGGAAGAATGTCCTCATTCTCATTGCTATCGATTTCATGATTCTGTGATAATCTGCTCTTTTCCTTTCCTAATTAGAGACCCTCCAGTCTCTTGAGGTGTGGAGGGGCAGCTCTCACCACTGAAGAATGATGGCTAGTATGTGTTGCACTAGCCTGTTGTCCAAGTTCTAATGGTACTAATTTCTTAAGTTGGTAAAGTTTAGATAGTGCTATTGTAGCAGCAAAGATTTCCCCCATTCATGCTTTTAAAAGAGATCTTGGGAGCATCCTAGAGGTTCTCATGAATGTATTCACCCAGCTTGTATAGGGAGAGTGTCTCTCATAAGACTCTCCTTTTGCATAGTAATGCAGAACTCTGCAAGCTGAAGTCATGCAAGACTATCCTAATACAATAACCAATTAGATATTACAGTTGTTCCATGACCTGTAACGCTCTGTCAAAGCTAATGAAACTCTTGTTGGGGGCCACGGAGATGGCTCAGTGGGTAGAATTGCTTGCTAATATGGCTGATGACCTGAGTTCCATCCCCAGGACCCAGGAAGGAGAGAACCAACTGCAAATTGTCTTCTGATCTCCACAAGGAGCTGTGACACACATATCCCCCCACCCCACACACACAATGTAATTTTAAAAAATTTAAAGCACTGATTGGTTTTACGTATTTCAGAAAGTAAGGAGTAAAGGTGATATGTGTGCTGAGAGTTAAAAAATGAGACACACTGCAATTAAAGCATTTCATTTCTTTGTAAAAACAGCATCGAAAACAGCCAGTCAGCACTTTCCACTGGTCATCATAGAACTTACACAGATTTAGCATCTTTTCAGTGCTCTGGTGACTTACACTCTAGTATCAGCTATTGTGAGATATCCCTCCATTCCTTTAATGTGAAAGATTTTGCTGCCATTATTTTCCTTGGGACAAATGACAGATGACCTTATCCTTTTTATCATGTTTGTCACAGTAACTAATCTAGAACTCTTTTTTTTTGTTGTTGTTGTTTGGTTTTTTGAGACAGGGATTCTCTGTGTAGCTCTGGCTGTCCTGGAACTCACTCTGTAGACCAGGCTGGCCTTGAACTCCCAGAGATCCGCCTGCCTCCCTGAGTGCTGGGATTAAAGGCGTGTGCCACCACCGCCCGGATAGAACTCTATTTATATAGATTGGAATAGCACTTTCAGCACTAACAATTTGGGTTTTTTGTGTTCTTCTTCTTTCTCACTACTTACCTTTTCTAGTTAACCACTGAAAAATACTACATGAATTTACATCAGGAGACCAGGAAGAAACAAAATTTAGATCCTTTGCTGTCCCTGTGTAAGCTGAATGGTAGATGTTCAGTGATCAGTTGGCAAACTGTGAAAGTGGTAACATGATTAGTCACTGGCATGGCACACGTCTTTTGTTTGGTAATGGTTTGTGCACTGAAAAGCTAGGTTTGTATAGTTATGCAGACATCTTTGTAAGTACTATCAGTGCATTTGGACTTTTCCTAATTGTAGCCAGCAGCCATTAAAGGTTTTATTTCAGGGAAGATGAGACCTTCTTCTTCTTCTTCTTCTTCTTCTTCTTCTTCTTCTTCTTCTTCTTCTTCTTCCCCTCCTCCTCCTCCTCCTCCTCCTCCTTCTTCCTTTTTTTCTTTCTTTCCTTTAAATAGGTATGGGTATGGGGTATGCATGTGTATATGCTTGTTCTCATGTAATCTAGGGATCCCTTCTCTACCTCTCAAGTGTTGGGATTATAGGTGTGTGCCTCACCTGCCTGGCTGGCTTTTATGTGGGGGTCTGGGGATCTGAGCTGCAGTCTTCACAGTTGCATGGCATGTACTTTATCTGTGAGTCACCTCCCCAACGTCCAGATCTGCTTTTGAGGTACTCTAGTTGTAGTGGACACATTTGAGAAAGTCAGAGCTATTGGAGTTATTGCAGAAGATCAGCTGACGGGTGAGGGAGATGGCTTGTAGGAAGTGGATAGATCTGAAGGGAATTGGAGGGAGAATACTTGACTTAATGTTGACTTGGCTTAGTTTATTAGAAAGGAGTCATAAATGATATTAGAAATCTGACTGGGATAAATGTGATGGTGACATTTACTAACATGGAAGCATATTCATAAGCATGATGCCTTGTTTAGAACATGTGGATAGTTGCCTAGTAAGATATTGAAGTAAAATATTGTGTAAAAGTTGAACAGAGATGTGTATATCTCAAATCACAGGAGAATAGTGCTGGAGATGTGGTTATCAAATCATCCATGTATAGATGGAAGCCATGAGAAAAATGAGGTTGTTTATAAATAATGGAAAGACAAAGGAACTCAAAAGAATCCAAGGATTCAAAGAGCACCAATTTTAAGAGACCGTGAAGGAGGAGTCGGAAGAATTAGTGGGACAGATCCAAGTGATTTAGGGGAAAGTAGTCATATGATGAGTCACCTTTGAGTCTTCTCTCTCTCTCATATGCTGAGAAATTAAATAGCAACAAAACTGAAAATTAGTACTTTAGTAAGGAGTCAGCTATTGGTGACTTTGAATCCAATTTCAGTGGCATTTTGGAAACAAAAAAGCCCACTGAATTGCCTTTAAAGGGCTTGGCAAAGCTGATGAGGAAGAGGTGGTCACAGACAGGCAGCATTTTCGGGGAGTTAATGAAAAAAGTGAAGAAAGGGATGCAGCAGTAGCTGAACACGTGAAGCTGGGACTCCATCAGGAAATGCCGCTTGGAGAAAAATGTCTGTGGTTTTCAGGGTGAGGGGCTGGTTTGGAGCGCCTGCGCTGGGATCACGTTGAGGGATAACCTTGTATTGGAAGGTAGTGCCTCTTGCATTTTGGCAGGAAGGAATGAAGAAAGACCTAACAGGAAGGCAAGTAGAGTGGTCTGATGTTGCATGAATCTTAAAAGTTCTTATTAATAAAATCAAACCTGAGGCCAGGTATTGGGGTGAACACTGGAAGATCAGAGAGACAGAACAAGCCACAGCTAACCTCACCTGGCCAACTTCTCAGCTGATCCTGTTTCCTCAGACTGGAAGCCTCTGTGTCCTCATATCTGAATGGCTCTCAGCTGAACTGTGCTGCTCAAAACCTAAAAGCTTAACCAGCCAAATGCTTCTAGTTTCTGGTCCTCACGCCTTATATGTCTTTCTGCTTTCTGCCTCAACTCCCTGGGATTAAAGGCTTGCTTTCTGGGATTAAAGGCGTGAGTCACCATGCTTGGCGGTATCCTTGAACCCATGGATTTCTGCCTCTGGAATGCTAGGATTAAAGGTGTGTGCTGCTACTGCCTATCCTCTATGTTTAATATTGTGGCTGTTCTGTCTCTGACCCAGATAAGTTTATTAGGGTGCACAATATTTTGGGGAACACAATACCACCTCACTGTAAGGACTTAATAGTCAGTGGCTTCCAGTAAGGAAAAAAAAGGATTCTGCTGAGCTCTCTGGAAGAAAGTTGCAATTGACAGCACCTCACCTCACTCTCACAAGTGCATGCTTCACGTTTTCCCTCCCAGCCTTGACTCTGGTTTCTCTACAAAGATCTCAATTCCCTCTGGCTCCTTGGAGATGCGTTCCAGAGTGACCTTTGAGTTCTTTTTATTATCATTTATATTATTATTATTATTATTATTATTATTATTATTGCATTTTCCAAGTAGAATATCTTCCTGTGGCCAGGTAGAACCAAGCCTGCATGGTCTTTGGCGAGGGAATTATTCTTTCTTAGTAGCCTATCTGGTTTTGTATGACCAACCCAGAGGGAATTGTTCCTCAGTAGCCTATCTGATTTTGTATGACCAAGCCATAATTGAGTAGCTGTATTTTTTTTTTAACATTATAGTAGATTTTCAATGATGGTTAAGTAATGTGGATTTTATATTATGATGAATTCATGCAAACTTGGAACTTTGTTCTTTAAACAGATTGAAAGCTTTGCATTTTTTACCAGTGGTTTAAAAAAGACACATGTGAAAATGTGTATAACTTGGAGAACTGTAGACTGTGTTTCAGAATTATGTAATTCCCTAAGCAGTCATTTGCTAATGATGACTGCCTTTTTTATTGTCTGCCTTTCTTCTAATAAGTGTGATTTGTTTTCTAGCTTGTTCAGTGGGTGGCACACCTCATCCCAGGAAGTGGTTCTTTGCCGTGCAGGCAATATGCGGATTTTATCAGGTAACAGCTGTTCGTGAATGCCTTTCCTACTAGAAAGAATTCCATGAACCCAGTTCGTCTAATGCCACCTTTTGATCGGTTGGTTTTGTAATAGCTCTTGGGAGATGCCTGTGCCGTAAATGGTTCCATGACTCCTCTACTTACCACCATTTCCTCTGTTAGTTTTGTAGTTCTGATTGGCAAGAGATACATTTTGATGCTGAAAAAGATAAAATAGAAGATGTTCTTCAAGCAAACATAGAGGAATGTCAGAGTGCTGCTGAGTGTTTTGAAGACGATGACAGTAACAGCAGGGAGTCCCTGTCCTGGGCTGAGTATGCTCGCAGGCCGATACCGCCTTTCAGATGTTCAGCACTAGCCTGTCGTTTAGAGACAGGAGAGAAAAGATGGAGTATTTTAGCATTGATAGCGGGGGAATTTTAATCAACTGCAATATTTAATACTTCGTTTTTTAGAAGACACTGGGCAGTTTAGCCCTGTTATCTAATCGATACCTGAAAATGTGGTTTAGGTTTACCCAACTGTTAGGATGCTTTTGCACTGGCATGGCCTTTTCTTGAAGCTAACTTCTGCCTGATACTGTGATAGCTGGACTTGAGCACTTACTTAATGCTAACAGCTAGCACTCAGACAGAGAAGCACATCGTTCTTCTCTTCTCTCTGGCTTTTTTCCACTTTATATGCCTCTTCGACATTTCCGATACGTTTTGTAATCCACAGAATTTCTGAGGAGTGTCAGTGTGACTGACTTGTAAGCTTCATGACTCTTGTTAGAATGTGAAAGCGATCCAGGCGCTAAGTTATGATCATCTTTCTTCTTAAGGTGTTCCATTTCTGACTCGTTAAGCCCTTTCATTTTAGCCTTCGTAATGTGACAGGAAAGGCTTTCGTTTTGTTTTGGTATTCATATAATATACCTATAAATTGTATAGGCTTTAAGAGTTCCTTCTTCCTGATTTCAGATTGTGGTATTCACTCTGTTAGTGAAGGGGGTGTAGAAGAGGGAGGGACTGTGGAATTAGTAGGAGTTAGGAAAGTACTCTCTGGTTATATGAGGTAAAGCTAGGCACTTAGCTCTCCCGGGTCTCTGTTTATTCACTCATCAAGTATAGAAGATTTTTTTAGGTACTTTCTAAGATACCTCCATTGAGCCTTAAAAGGCCCTTGTTTTATCACTGAAAAAAACTATGCAGTAGTTTGCATGTGGCCATATTTCCACAAGAGGGAGCCTGAAAACTATAGTCTAGCACAGGATGCTTTAAGATTTTTGTTTTAGACAATATCACCCTATGAAAAAGGATTGAAAGATTCTTATCCTGTATAATAAATTATTCTGAGAACAAAATTTCACCATATGAATAAAATTTATAAGTTTTTAGGACTCTGAGCAAAATGTTATATTCTCAGTGAAGGCTTAGAACTAACTTAGAGAAAAACAGTGTCCTTTATTAAAACCTACTGCTGGCTTGTTTTGAAGATTAGAAAAATGTTTGGTGTATTATTTATATTGAATACATAAAATATAACTTAGGGGTTTTGTTTCCATTATTTGTTTCCATTGTTGGTTCTGTTTGGTTTTTGGGTGTGGGTAAAAGCGTGTACTTGCAGGATGAATTCTAGCTTTTATACATAATAGTTACATTATTTTAGGACACTTATGTAAAGGAGAAATACTATCCTAATGGTACATGGGTTTGTCAGCAGAGTCAAAGGTTATGTGTCTAATGTATGTGACTGTGGGTACACAGATCGTTATTGCCTATTTTGATTATATGGTTTATATATGTGTGTGTTTATACATATATATGCATATTTGTGTAGGTTATTTTTTTCTAAATCTATTCTTTTATTGTAGCCTATATGAAGAATCAGCAGAAAATTTGCATCAGTTATCAGACAAGCTTCCTGCTCCTGGTAACACAATAACTGTTTTTGATCATTTGTATTTTCTACTTTATATGGATGAGTGATGAAGTCAGTGTATTCTAGAGAACATTAATCCTGTAAATTCCAGGAAAAAAAGCTTCCTTAACCTAGATGGTTTGGATAACATTCTTTTATAGTGCAGTTAGCATGCTCATCACCAGATGGAATGTTGTGCCGTGGAACAAAGCTCTTTGCTCAGCATTTTTTTTATAGGAACCTTTTTTTTTGTTCCTAAAATGGGAAGCATATTTTATGAACTACCATATGATATTATCCTTAAGACTTTTTTTGTTCTAACGTAGCTTTTATTTGTGTGTGTGTGTTACTCAAATAATCATTGGTAAAATTTGGCACAGTTTGGTATTTACAAATACTTTTGCAGTTTTTTATGAATATTTTCATTGTTGAATATCATTTATTGACATGTTCGATGTCTGAATTATATGTCATGCATTGTTTTAGGAACTGAATATACAGTGGTGTGTGAAGCTAGATAATTATAAAGGATCTCAAAGCTTACACATAGTAAAATTCTTATAATCAAGGAGCTGGCATTTAGAGCCAAATTTACTGCAGAGTCCTGTATGGAAAATAACTAAGAGTGTGTTGAGATGGCTCACTGGTTAAGGGCACTGGCTGCTCTCGCAGAGGACCTGGGTTCAGTTCCCAACACCTTCATGGAAGCTCAAAACCATCTATAATTCTAGTTCCAGGAAATCCAGTGCCTTTTTCTGGCTTCCATATGCATCAGACATGCACAGTCATGCAGACAAACATACCCATGAAATAAAAAAAAAAGTACTTTAAAGAGAAAATAACAATGTATTCACAAATAAACATTTTTATAACTTTTTGTCCCAAGGATTGAACCCAGGGCCTTGTACATGTTAATCTACTCCCTAACCCATCAGATTTCTTTTAGTAAAATGTATCAGATTTAAAATATTTACTAAAATATTATACAGTTGCTGTTTTCATCAAATTAAATGCCTTTGATTATCCAATTTTTATTTGGTTTCCATTTCATTTTAACTTTTCTCGTTCTTCAATACATTTGTAATTTTATGTCATTTAAACTGGTATGAAGTAAACCTTTCTCGGAATCTAATGATGCTAGTATAATTGGTTATACTGAATGTTTTATTGTCCTTTAAGAGAAATGATTTATTTGAGCATTGCAATTTTATACTCATTCGTTCCCTTTTGGATAACAAAATTAAATGTAGGAGAATATAATGAAATTGCACAGGTTTTTTTTTTTCCCCTGTTGAGTACAATAGCATTGATGATCTCCAGAGCAATGCATATAATTAACTACTGCTGGAGACTCGGCGAGCAATTATGATATAGTACATTGTTTTCTACCATGCGCTAGCTATTTCCAGATAATATGGCATGAACTCGAATGATGAATGCTTCAAATTTTTGAACTCCTGAAGATGTGTATTGGTTTGAAATACTCCTCTGTCTTCTAAATAAGTTTAAAATTTAGTTGTTTAGAGCACTGTTTTGAGCCACTCTAGATCGAACATCTTTTAAAAATTATGATTTTTTTTCCTAGGTAGAGCATTGATAGACATAATTCTCTTGCCTTCCGACAAAGATCTTCCTACATTGAAAGAGTGCTTGCCCACTGTAGGGGCGTTGAAACATCTGAAGGAGTGGCATTCAGCCAAAGTTATCATAGCAGGAAATCACTGTGAAATGTAAGCTCCTTTGGTCATATGTCATTGTTCTGTTGAGATCTGCTGCCGGGGTTTCAGTAGATTGAGCCTTTGAAAAGGACTTTAATGTGACTAGGTCATGTTTTCTGTCGCACTGTGATTAGAGAATTGTACCTTTACTGCAACCTAGATTTTGCTCCTTTCTTATTTCCTAGATGTTTACATATTTGATAAACCCTATCAGTGCTGATCTATAATCACTGTTGAGCCTTGGTTCTCCAAATTCACTGTGTACTTTCAGGCAGGTACCCAGTGAGCACTGGGGTGACTGGTATGCTGGATTCATCCCGTTCTGTCTGCTTTCTATGGTATATGCCAAGGTAGAAATAAGTACACACAGTTGTATTTATGACACATTAGTAGAGGTCAATTGTGCATTCCAGTTTTGATTCCAAAGTTAGTACTCAGACTGGATTTATGAACTTCATGATTTTTTTTTTTAAATTTCATAAATCAGGCACTTAATAGAATTGTGAATAAGGCAGGCATAGTAGTCGATAGTTGTTAAGAAAGTGCGAACACACCGGCTCCCCGCATGGAAGTACAGGTAAAGCAGGAATGCTAACAGTCAGCATCGCCTGTGATCAAGTGCTGCCATGGAACTCCTAAAAGCCATGAAGGAAGATTTGGGGTGACAGTGCTGTTTCTGATCTGAGGGACGGGAACGTCTGACGCGGTGAAGCCGGGAGTAACAGGACGGTTTCTGTTCACCTGGTAGGGATGATGACGACACTGAATGTGTGGGAAGGTGGCAGCCCGTCCTCAGAGACTGACTTAATGGGTCACTCATATTAATATAAAATTGCAGTTACCTCTCCTAGGCTGTAGCATTTTAGTAACCATTAAAAATAAGAAAGAGTTATCATTTAATCATCAAAATCTTTTTTTTTTTTTTTTTAACAGTAATTGTCAGAAAATTGCAGAATACCTTTCAGCAAATGTCGTACCTTTCGAGGAGTTCAGAAATGCCATTGACTCAAGGGAGTTGTGGAGGGGAGAGATTCAGATACGGGAGAGAAAGGTAAAGAGATTGCTTGCTTTCACCATGTACAGCGAAGTAGACCTTCAGACCTTGTTTCAACTGAAGTTAACACCAGTGTCCCTCAGGAAGATATTCTAGATTGACACCAAGTGGAGTTTTCTACAGTGATGGAAACTGCATCTGCTCATAACAGTGGCCCTTAAGCTACATATTGCTACCGAGAATTTTCTGTGACTTGTTGTACCCTCAACTGAATTTTTAATTTTATTTCATTTTAATTACTTATAATATCAGTAGTCACTGTGATTATGTTTTAAGTATTACTGTTCTGTAGTGTGGCATTTTGAAAACAGTATTAGACATTAGTCAAATTCATTTTGTTGAACTAAGTTGATTAATTTTATTGCCAAAGTTATCCAAAAAGTAGTGGGAGCAGTTACCTAGTATTCTTAGGTGATCTCTGCCATATACAAGCCAGCTAACCTGAACAGTGTTTTAAAAGTTTTACTAGACCCTAGATATATTATCTCTGTGATGAAATTGTCACTTAGATTTCTTTAGTCCTAAATTTCTGAGGTAAGTGTTGGTGGTTTTTATATCTATTTTGTAATATGTTCATATTAATTCTTGTAAGTTTTATAGATAGGAAAATTAAGACAATTTCTTAATGTTTGTTCAAGATAGTGTGCCATCATGAATGGGCTCTTACATTCCCATTTTTTTTGTGTGTTTGTTTATTTATTTTGTTTTTTGTACTTTTTTCTCCCGTTATCTTTCTTATTGGCTTAATGAAGCATCCAATAAAACAACAGGAAAAATGTGCCTAGTCTATCTAGAGTAACATACTGGCCATCCTAGTTTTAGGAAGATTCAGTTTTCAGGAAAACTGTCTCTGCAAATGGTGTTGCTAGGAATGAATGAATGAATAAATGAATGAAATAAACAGCATTTAGCCAAAGTTGTAGGCAGAAGTTTCTCAGTCCTGCCCGGCCCTGTGGTCCCACAGCCGCTTATAAATAATCACTCTGAGGCTTATATTCATTACAAACTGTATGGCCTATGAGTCAGGCTTCTTGCTAGCTACTTTCTCTGGTCCTGCCTGGCCCCACAGTTGGGATGACTCTCTCCCATCCACATTCCCGCAGCTGCTTGGTCCCAAGTAAACATACAGAGGCTTACATTACTGACAGACTTCTTGCTTGCTAGCTCTTATAACTTAACTCAACCCATTTCTATTAATCTATATGTTGCCACATGGCCATGGCATGACTGGTCTGCTAGCATCTTGTTGCTCGTTCAGTGGCATGCAGGCATCTCTTCTGACTCCACCCTCTGTCTCGTCTTCAGTTCGAATGTACCGCCTGACCCTGTCCTGCCCTGCCATAGACCAGGGCAGCTTTATTTACCAATCAGAGCAACACACATTCACTGCGTAACAGAAAGACGTAACAGAAAGAGTGGAAGAGCTGACAGTGTGAGCAGGAAAATTGCCTTGGTTTTCATGTTCTCAAGTCATGTGCTCACATGTAGGCAGATCATGCCAGAGTTCTCCTGTAGTATGAAGTTAAGCACTCATTAATCCACAGTAAACATTTCTTTCTTTTCTTCTTCTTGTTTTTTTTTTTTGTTTTGTTTTCTTTTGTTTTGTTTTTTGCTTTGGTTTTCCGAGACAGGGTTTCTCTGTGTAGCTTTGCGCCTTTCCTGGATCTCACTCTGTAGACCAGGCTGGCCTCGAACTCACAGAGATCCACCTGCCTCTGCCTCCCAAGTGCTGGGATTAAAGGTGTGTGCCGCCGCCGCCACCGCCGCCGCCACCACCCGGCATCACAGTAAGCATTTCAGACTCGGTGCACTTCATAGCTTTCAGCCAGCAGTCATTCCAGTAGACTCTAGAGTTACAATGCCCGAATTTACATTCTGACTTGGTTCCAATTTTGTGGGACATCTTGGTACCAGAGATGATGATGATAATCCATAGGGGTTTTTTTTGAGTTCTGTTATTTAGAGTACAGAATAATGACAACAATATGTCCTGGCTGTCAGCATTTTTGCGTCTTTACTGTTAACAGTGGCAGCGTTACGGCTTCTGTGGTAACTGCATTTCTTATCACCCATGTACATTGGAGGTAAACCCTGCGAGGCACTGTACTAAGTACCTAGTACCTGTGCACTAAGTACACAGGCAGCTTCTGTGTGGCTGTAACTTACAGACTGGTGGGAAGCCAGGCATTGAATGTGTATGGGGAGGTTGCTTGGTCCTATGGGCTGCATGAAACAGTTAGCATACTATTGCTGACTAACCAAGGACCACGGAGGGGTTATGGGAAGTTGATGGTGAAGGTTAATAGAGTGATGTCAATAGCTTTCCAATGGGGAGAGCCACCCTTCTTCTTGTTCTGAGCCGATGTATCCAAAGAAAGAAAGAAAGAAAGAAAGAAAGAAAAGCCACACTCACATATTTTATATTTAGAGTAATGTTAGTTTCTTCTCAATATTTTCATTCTAATACAATACATTAGTCTTTATTCATAACATCTGTAACTGAGTTCTCTTGGTTTCTCTTTTCAGTTTGGATTTGAAATTAGTTTTCCTGAATTTTGTTTAAAGGGAGTTACACCTACGAGTGTTAGTACATGTAATTTAAATCCCTGCTTTCTTGCCAAAAAGATAGCACCATCGAAGGATAAGACTGTTCTACCTAAGGTAATTATATATACATTTAATTTTTCCTGCTATCATCTGTTTGTGCAGCTTTGTTCTATAAAATATATTTGACTCTTGCCTCACTAGAACTAATATGCATGATATGTTCACGGGTATAGCTTATATAACTCTCATAATTAAGTGCTTTTGTGTGATGAGTACTACGTGTTGGTACTCATTGCTACAGAGTGGTTTTTTTTTTTAATAAGGTAATAATTTTAAGTCAGTATAAGCCTGAATTGGACTTGAATTGGAGTTTACTATGGGACCCTTTTAAGGAGAGTGAAAAGCTAGCTGCCTAGATGCTAAAAATTAGATGAAGGTTGAAGTTAGCTAGGCCTTGGTTTAGAACTTGACTCTGTCGCCTGGTATAGATTGGATACAAGCTTGGATGTTGACAACTCGTTTGTGAAATGAGAGCAATACCACCTTACAAAGATGCTGTGAAAATTAAACGAGGTCAGAGATTAGCATCTGATGCAGAACCTGGCATAGGCTTAACGTGTGGGATTAGGCATGCTAATTCTCTTCATGAATCTTCTGTAGGTTTATTCTTTACATGCAAGCAATTATAAGATATAATAATTACAAGAGTACAGCTAGTTGTTTTTTTTTCAAATATTGAAAACCAGCATAAGAGGAGGTCCTTTACGAGTACTTCTGAAATCGATCTTAAAATATCCAACTTAAGAATGTGTAAAATACAGAGGTCCTGAAATTATAAGATGTCAAATGATGCTTAATATTTTCTGACAGAAGGGCAGTAGAAAAAAAGGATATCATTTCTGCTGTGAATTCATTTCCCCTTATTGTTTATAATTACTTACTGTAACAATGTCTGTCTTTCACAGAATTTTTCAGTTCTTTTCTAAACCTTAGAAGATTTAGTGACTTCAGATTCTCTTCTTTGGCAATGTAATGATCAAGTATAATAATCTATCTTTAAACATTGTTTTTCTTTGCTTCTACTGAGAATAATCTTCAGGTCCAACCTTTTCAATGAATTAAAGCAAAATTAATTACGATAAATATTTCTCCCATGTATTAGTTACTTTTCTGTTGCTGTGATAAAACACCATGACCAAGGCAACTTATAGAAGAAACAGTGGTTTAGGGCTTCGGGTTCCAGAGGGCCAGATCCATGATGGTGAAGCAAAGGCCTGGCAGGGGGAGCAGGAAGCTGACGGCTCTCATCTTCAACTACAAGGACGAAGAAAAGAGCCAAAAACACCCACCTCCAGTGACATACCTCATCCAACAAGCTGCGCCTTTTAAGCCTCCTCAAACAGCCCGCAGCTGGAAACCAAGTCTTCAGATGCCCAGACTTTAGGGACATCTTATTCAAAACACTCCATGCCCCCGTATACACATGCATGGAAGGGCGGGGAGAAAGAGGCAGGGGGGAAAAACTAAAACTGTTTTTCCTTTGGATGTGCTTTCTTTGTGAGGCTTTTAAACTAATAATCACTAATTTGTTTGCTTTCATTTCATTTCCAGGATTAAAAGTATTACGTGATCTGAATTTCTTTTTCAGGTTTTCCATTATTATGGTCCTGCTTTAGAATTTGTGCAGATGATAAAATTATCAGATCTACCCTCCTGTTACATGTCTGACATGGAATTCGAGTTGTATCCTTTTGTTGACACGCTCATCTTATTTTCCGTTCTTTGGGTCAGGTAGGATGTCTGGGGGACCAGCAGGTCAACGTGTTAGGTTTACATTTGTTTTCATTTCATCGTATACCTCGTTTACTGCTCATGCCCAAGTGGAAATTCTTCCCCAGGGGGATCCTGGGGAAGGGAGTTCCTGCTTTCTTCACATTCTCCTGTCAGAAATCTTTGCCCTTGGGCAGTCCCTTTCCTTTCACTGTAGATTACTTGCTGTGGGCAGGATTATGGAACTAAAGCAGAGGTGACCGAACCTTGCTGCTTTGGTGCAGTTATGATGAATGACCTGTGCTTGAGCACAGGTTACGTCTACACACAGTGTGGCATTCACTGAAACTGTCTTTCCCACCACTCTGTCTCGATACACCCACATTCATATTTTATTGCTTTGTCGTGTTTCGTTTCCTGTCTTATGAATAGGTTTCCTTTTTCCTGAGTCCAGGATTCCTCTCCGTGATTTCTGTTGTTTTCTTGATACTGTTCTGCTAAAGAAGGATTGTGGTGTGTGTGGACATGACTCTTGGCTCTCCTACTTCAGCAAGAGCCACACGAAAAGTGAGAAAATCCCAGCTCAAAAGTTGGGTTTCTGAAAGATCTCACTTGCCAAAACCTACTTGTCCTAAGGAAAGTCCGAAAAGCACTCATTAAGCCATTTCTACGATTTCACTCTGCATTTAGGTGTTGGATCATGCCCTAAGATAATTCAGTATATCTTTCCTGGTCATGATTTCAAGAAAAGTTTTATAATGTATTCCCCCACCCAAGCACTATGTTTATGCTTCTAGAAAGGCACAAGGCTTCCTCCAGGTTGGCTCCTTGTTGCTGATGAGCATCGAGAATGTAAGGAATACGTGGAGAGTGCAGAGTAATTTATACACACTTCTGTCTTGCTCAGATGTTTCTCTTACTGTCAGTATGATTGATAGATGAGGACTAGTTGGATGATATATCTTTCTATACTTAAGTAACTGTAAATGTCACCATACATACTGAAATCTTCAAAATATGTTTTGGGGGTGGATCACTTGTGTGTAGGTCAGAGGACAGCTAGCAGGAGTCGCTTGTCTTCTTCCACCATGTGGGTTGTCAAAGGAGCAGGCACCTTTACCCCTTGAGACACTTCACCATCCCAGAACAGACATTTTATATTACATAATTGCTGGTTTGAAATGGAGCACTCACATAGCACTCTTGAATTTTTTAATACAGAGATTTTTTTTTAACTCATTTCTTGTTTTTATATTTTATAGGAATGATAATCAGGATTAATAATCAAGAAAATAATGTGTAAGGGAAAGAATAATTGGTAATTCTTTTACTTAAGCTAAATGAATGATTTTCAGTGAATTATGGGAGAGTGAAATAATCAAGCTTGTTTTTCCAAGTTGAGTTTTTTCCTGGTTACTATTTTCTCATTCTTTAACTCCTTAGTACAGAGAGGTGACCAGAAATTGCACGAGGCAGAATTCCATGTTGCTGTTGGAACAGCTCTCTTCTCTGTGTGGCAAGGTATAGAAGACTTTTATTTTATTTTATTTGGTTGTAAGATGTTTTTTAATCCTTAACATTTAAGGACATGATAACAGTTAATACAGCTCTTGCTCATAAATTTGGTTTCTTTAGTATAATATAACATAGCATGGCTTTGGCAGTAATTCATGTTAAGATATTGCTCAAGTGTTTTGTAGACAAAGTGACATTTGATTTTATAGGAGACTTGGAAATAAACCTTATGTGCAATGATTTTAAGAGTTATTTTAAATTTTAGAATACATCATTAATCTCCTCTTTGGTGATATCTCATTCCAGCTCTGGGAAGCCATTTGTATTCCTGTGTTGTCTTTTCATGGGCAGGAGGTGGAAATGAGATGACTTAAAGCATCACTGGATGGTTATTTTTATGTTAAAAATTACTTCTCTATTCCAGTTCTGCATAAGAGATTTGTAGCTATTTTAATAATTACATGTGTATATCATATGATAAATTTGATGTCTTTTGGACATTTTTTAAAAACTGTAAAAATACAGAATCCTGAGAAGAATCCTGTGTCTAAAGTCCTGTATCATTTCAAGGAAGAAAAACATGAAAGGTTTTATTTCCTTTTGGAAATTTCGTCAACTATTGAATTTCTATAGGAATGATTGTTAAAGCACAAAATACTTACTGGCCATCTTTATGTAACATTTCTTATTCCTGTAGTACCAGCTTATTAACAAATGCCCCGGAGAGGAGATAGTGATTACTATCATTTTAGCAGTTTCCTCATGGTGTTAGAATTAGACCTTGGTTGAAATTCCCTTAGAAAACTGATACTGTAAAGTAAATGTGGTTTTGGTTGTAAGATGTCTGCCTATATGACCCCTTAGAATTTTGGAGATTCTAGTCCCATTTTCCTGTATATTTAATAGTGTTTTGAATAGTGTATCCAAGTATTTTTGATGAAGTGGCCTTGAATGATGTCAAGTTAAAGCTACACATATGCCTTTGTTTAGTCCTGATATGAGATAACCCTTAGTCTACTAGTTATTAAAGGTAATGCTTATTCCAGAAGTGAATCAAGTTATTTAGTATCTCGTGTGCAGCCATTTTGTTTTAAATGTGCCTTTGGGACCATGACTAAACCGTCAGTGTATAATGCACAGATAATGAGTCTGTGAGACCTTCTAGGCTCCTCTCTGTATGCAGCAGAGAGGTAGTGTACACAAACAGGTGTTGCCCTAGTTAGGGTACTGTTGCTCTGGTCAAACACCATGACCAAAGCAAGCTGAGGAAGGAAAGGGTTTATTTGGCTCACACTTTCATCCATCACTGGAAGAAGTCAGGACAGGAACTCATGCAGGGCAGGAACCTGGAGGCAGGAGCTGATGCAGAGGCCGTGGAGGGGTGCTGCTCACTGGCTTGTTCGTCATGGCCTGCTCAGCCTGCTTTCTTATAGAACCCAGGACCGCCAGCCCAGGTGGGTTATAGAAGCCACCATGGGTTGGACCCTCCACCATTTTCTCAACTGAGGCTCCTTCTCTGATGACTCTAGCTTGTGTCAAGATGACGTAAAACTAGCTAGCACAGGTGTCCTGTGACTTCCATAAACAAGCTCTGAATTTGAAGCTGTGTATTTACATTGGTTATAACTTGTCTTTACATTTTTTTTAAAGTAATTGAATAGCTGCTTCTTCCTTGAAGTTGAGTGCTGCATGTGTAGATTTTGCTTTTATTAGTTTGACTAAAAAGTTTTTGTTTAGAATATAAGAAATGGATTTCGTTGTGACATTTTCATAATGTGTTTGGTTATACTTCGTTGTTATCAGACCCTTGTTTGTTTTGTTGTTGTTTATCCAAATTTTTTTGTCCTACTGTGTGTCAGATGCTTGTTCAGATATTGAAGACAGCAGGTAGACAAGACCCTTCGTTGGTGCTTAAGTTCTCATAATCTATGTGATCATCAGGAAATGTCTTGGTTTAATATTATCCCTCATCTCTCTGTCTTTCTCTTTGATTAGCCCCAAAGTAGATATGAACTTTTTTTTTTTTTTCAGTATAGCCTCTTTTCGTAGACTACACAAGGATATTAGGGGAGTCTAATAATACTACTCTGTGGCTAGGAAATGCTGTTTTTAAGGGGAGTTTGTGAAGTTTTAAGTCTGATTTCACTAGTGACTGCTTGTTAACGAGGAGCGGTGCAAAGACCGGAAGGATCAAGGTTTGGCAGTGAGATTTGAAATGCGCTTCTAGTCTTTTTGAGTCACAAAGGCAACCCAGTGGCATCATCCTCTGGTCTCAAGAACTTGTCTGAGGGTTAGTGCATGGGTGAGAATAAATGATCGGGATTCAAGTCTATTATGATCCAGTGTAAGCAACTGACACAGTTATTTTGTAGGAAATTAAAACCTGGGAGATTCAGAAATACATGTTTTCATCTTTGTTTTAAATGTTTGTAGCAAATGTTTAATCACAATTAGACTGTCTCAAAAATGGGTTCATGGCAGTGGGTCATGAGTCAGTGTGTAAGTTATGTGTAGAACTGCATTCAGCCTGGATAGGCAGCTGGGAGAACTTCCCTGGCACGTTCACCTCCCTGGTGTCAAGCTTTTCCATCTCACTGCTCTGGTGGCTCTTCTCCCATGGTCTGCATTCTGCACAATGATGTCTTGTTTCTGAAAGGACTGAGTTTTAGTATTTAGAGAATTAGATTTGTCTTTGATATTTCATCATTATTTTCTATTGCTAAGTAGCTTTACTTCTAATTGCTAACATTTGACTGTGTAAAGACATTTAACTTTTAAAAAGTTTTTCCTGTAATAATGAAGACAAACACTTCTTTCCTTAATTTTATATCTGTAATTAAGAATGTAGAAGTAAAAATAATAAATAGCAACAAAACTAACATTGTAAGATGCTAATTTAGTGTCACATAGTCATGCAACTAATCTATTTACATAGGGCAATTAAAAACATTTCCATTAGGTTTAAGATATTTGACTAATGTTTTGCCTAAATTTCTCCAGAGGTTTTTTTTTAAATTAATGTTCTTTATTGGAATGTGCTGATTGATGTAACTGCATTTCTAAATTGGGCGATATAACTTCCAAAGTTGTAATTTGTTTTATTTAGTCCTTAATCAAACTGAGAATTTAGATAAATGCATCATAATGATTCTTTTGAGCAAATATTTAATAAACATCTGTATGCTTAGCCTTGAGAATACAAATATGAAGTTGAATTTGCTCATACATCAGTTGGAAGCTGCTGTAAGTTTTGGGGGGGGGTCTAATTTGTTATCTTCTGCATTTTACCTATTAGCGTTAAATCTCTTATTTCTAGGAATGAAAGCTTCTCTATTACTTTTGGATGTATTCTAATTTTCAAGCCACAAAAATAGTCAATACAGTTAAAGTTTCTAAAGTTATGGCACCACACATTTTTGGTACTAGATCTCTCAGTTAGTTCCTCGTGGTTTTGTAGATTCACAAAGAAATCATCCCAACAACCTAAATGCACAGAAGATATGAATAACAAATGTCTTAGTTACTTTTCCTGTTGCTATGGTAATTAGGCTGACAAACACACCTTCAGGGAGGAAGGGTTCATTTCTGCTCTCAGTTCAAGGGTGCAGTCTGTCATGATGGGGAACTTAAGGCACCAGGTTATACTATGTCTAGAGTAAAGAAAGAAAGAATGTTGTCGTTTGTCTTTGCTCTTTTGGATCTTTTGGGGGGTCAACCACCCAGCTCCCAAATAAATCACACACAGAGTCTTATTATTACTTATAAATGCCCAGCCTTAGCTTGGCTTGTTTCCAGCCAGCTTTTCTTAACTTAAATTATCTTGTCTATTTTTTGCCTCTGGGCTTTTTCATTTCTCTATTTCCATGTATCTTACTTTGACTCTTACTCCATGGCTGGCGAGGTGACTGGGTGGCTGGGTGGCTGGCCCCTAGTGTCCTCTTCTCCTCCTTTTCTTATTCCTTCTTTTCTTTTCCTCCCAGATTTCTCCTTCTATTTACTCTCTCTGCCTGCCAGCCCCACCTATCCTTCCTCTTGCCTTGCTATTGGCTGTTCAGCTCTTTATTAGACCATCGGGTGTTTTAGACAGGCACAGTAAGTAACACAGCTTCACAGAGTTAAACAAATGCAATGTAAAAGAATGCAACACCTATTTTCATCATTAAACAAATGTCCGACAGCATAAACAAATGTAACACACCTTAAAATAATATTCTCCATCAAGAGAATAATGACTGCCAATGCTCAGATAGCTTCCCCACTCAATCGGTCCTGGACCCAAGCCAGGCAGTGATGCCACCACTTTTAGGGGAAGGTCTTTCCACTTCTTTAACCTAATTAAGATAATCCCTCACAGGCATGCCTAAAAGCTAGCCTAATCTAAATAGCTTCTTACAGGTGTACCCAGAGGCTTGCCTCTTAGGCATATTTAAAGCTTGTCAAGTTGCCAGCCAACACTCGCCACAGACAGAGTTTTCAGAAATAATTACCCAGTAGTAAAGAGGAGACTATAATTTTGGATCTGTCTTTGTATTTTGCTTCTTTGTTTCTCTTCGCTCTCTTATTTTGTGGGGAAGGTCATGGGGGTCTTTTTCTTTAGATTTTGCAGTGAAGTGCTTGAAAAATCATTGCTCAATAATTGCTAAATGTGTGAAATGTGAATTTCGCGTGATATTTGTTAACAGCGAATTTCAGTCTGCAATCGATAAAAACGCACTCTATTTTTCCTTCAGGTTGGTGCTCTTTTTGTATTGCCATGTACTGTTAGTAACGTACTCATTCCGCCTCCCAACCAACTGGCTTCAAGAAAGTGGAAGGAATACATAGCTAAAAGGCCCAAGACAATTAGTGGTAAGTTCTACATCCTTCAGTCGTTTTATTGGTACATAATATAGATAATGTATTATCAAAGTTGAAGTGGAAGTACTCTTGATTAGAGAGTATTGTTTTAATACCTCTAACCATGTTCATTAAGAAGGGCAGTACTTTATAGGCAGAACTTTGGTTAATTAGGTAGTTACTAATTTTGAATATTGGATTCTTAGACACATCTCAAGAACAAAACAGGTAAAAATAAAATGGTTCATTTATTATATGAACCTGTATGTATGGTTTTCTGAAGACACTAGAACTTAACTATTTAAAAGGTTACTTATGCCACACAGCATCCTAGGTATTTAGCAATATGACTTTTTTTTTTTAAAGATTTATTTATTTATTATATATACAGTGTTCTGTCTGCATGCATGCCTGCATGCCAGAAGAGGGCATCAGATCTCATTGTAGACGGTTGTAAGCTGCCATGTGGTTGTTGGGAATTGAACTCTAGAAGAGCAGCCAGTGCTCTTAATCTCTGAGGCATCTCTAGTCCAAGCAATATGACTTCTATAATAACTGTACATTGGTTTATCTTCATGTTACAGATAAGGGCGTTGTTGCTTAGAGAACTTAGAGAGCACGTCATTGACAGACCCTTGCTATGAGTTCTGGGGTTTCCCCAAGCACTTATACCACTAGTAATCTAGGATGTTCAATGTAGGGGCCACAGAGGTCCGTGTGTTCACAGATAAGCATTAGGGAAACCAGGAATGTTACACACAGGGTTGTCGTCTCTTTTTTTTTTTTTTTTTGGTTTTTCGAGACAGGGTTTCTCTGTGTAGGTTGTCGTCTCTTTATAGAAAGAAATGTATACTTGTTTTCTGCCCAGAAGGCTGGGAACAGAGACAGTTAATAGCCCAGTGACCTTTGCACGATCTGAATGATAGACCACACCAGATCTTCCCCCAGACCCTTAAGATGTCACACAGAGCCAATCTGTAGAACTCATCTTTCTGGAAGAGGTCACATATACTTTACAAAGAGCTTCAATGTAATCATGTTTTAAGCGTTATTGTGTACATGGGACTGAGTTAATTCTCAGCAGGAAATGTTTTTCCAAATTGTGCTATACTCAAATATGCCTAAAACAAGCTGCCAAGTGTCAGACTGTGCAAGTTTGAACTCACATCAGCTTCTGAGTCGTGCTGAACAGCACTTCCTCCCTGTCTCACTGGGATCCTACTCTGCTGGCTGTGGTGGGTATTTACAGAGATCTCCACAGTTCAAGATATTAGTGGAGCCTGTTGCACAACGCTAGAACATGAGCAAGTGCAGGTTTAACCGTCTCAGCTGCTCATGTGGGGGTGGATCCAGCTGGGTTGTTTAAGGTGCTTCCATGAAATCAGTTATAGAGCAGCAGTCCAGTCAAGTTTCCCTCACAGTGCATGAAGTCACGAGAAACCGTTTGTCAGCACTGTGTGTGTCTATGACTAGTAATGTGTACTGAACATTTGCATCCCTTCAATAAGCCGAGTATGTCCTGGGTAGCTCATCACTGCTTCTTTTTCTTCTTGTAACTTTGTACAACTTTAAGAAGCTTCCAAGTTAAAGGTTCTGATTCTAAGTTAGTTTCTTGATGGAGAATTTACTCAGGTGTTTGGTTGGTTGGTTGGTTTCCACATGATTTTTATTGTAGCTAAGAAAAACTTGTCGTTCGACTTCAGGTTTTAGAATCACTGCGTCTTGAAACTTAGGGATGAACTGTGGAGACTTCGGAATAGTCATATGACATAGATGACACGATCCTGTTTGAAGCTTGTTGATTACTGATTAGTCCAGGTCATTAGCACTGATTAAACTGGCTCCTTGCAGGAGCTTTTCCTTTCTTCTAAGAAGCAGAACAAAATCAAACAGGATAGTTGATTAAGGCCTTTCCTAGCTATAACCCTTCCTGAAGGGGACATTTGCTACTTATTCTATGGACACAACAGAGAAGCCAAGTTTTGTTTTAAATAAAAGAGAGAGAGGGAGAGAGAGAGAAGGCAAGTTTTGGTTGGTTTCAGTAACTCTTGGATCCAGAAAACTTCATACCCTGGCACTTCCATCATTAACAGTAGCTTCTCTCAATGACCCACATTAACTCTCGGGTCATCCCCAAACCCTAACTACATTTCGTCATCATTGTTCTCAGAGTCTCTGAATTAAAACTTATCCTGTTTCCCAAAATAATCTCCTGGTTGTATTTCTTTGTGACTTTGTCAATCATTATAATTAATTAATTCATTCGTTCATCCATCCATCCAGTCAGTCAAACATTTTTTGGTTCATTTACCTGACCATGGAATGGATACTGTCCACTAGATGTGGTACAGTAGTTTGGGGACTACTGCGGAAGGAGAGACTCTTTATATCCCACTCATTGTTTTCATACTCTTGCATGGAAAATAAGTGCTGAGAAGTAATTGTAAGTCCTGTTCTAACTTTGTATTCAGTAAGAGTTGACTGGGAACAGTCCCGAAGACACTGCATGAAGAAAGCAAGGTGTGCAGTGATTTAGACATTATATATGGTAAAAGGAACACCTCAATGTATGTGCTCAACATTTGTACATGTTGTGTGTGTGCATTATTCATGTTTTCCACGGACATTTTAATTGAGCATCTCTGGTTTACTAGGACCGTTTACATGCCTGACCCACATCAAACAAAATCTTGAAGCTTACATTGTAGAAGAGATTAAGACCCTTCGTTCTTAACCCAAATGGTCACATCGCTAATGTTTTCGGGCCTTTGCCCCGAAGCTGCTTTCTCATGCAGGATCAGTTTTGCTGTCGCACCTACAGTTGCCAGCAGGCCCTTCTCCTCTTTGCAGCTGCATTGTTTCCCATTGCTGCTTCCTGCTGTTTAATATCGTGAGTTTGTCTCTTGTTGATGCTTACAGATGCTTAGAAATATTTGTTAGCTTCCAAGTGAGGTATGTATTTCCGGTTGTAATAACTGCTGTCTCAACAACAACAACAAAATGAACCTGGACTCATTCATGAACCATGAGCCAAAGTATGTGTCTCAGGTGTTATCAGTTCTTCAAGTTTCTTTCCTTGTAAAGCACATGTATGTTTTTATTTGAACTACAGATGCAGTTGCTGTTATAGGTGAACCGTTCTTTGTTGTGGAATATTATTTTGAGGTGTGTTACTTTTGTTTATGTTGCATTTGTTTAACTCTGTGAAGCTGTGTTACTGTGCCTATGTAGAACACTTGATGCGCTGCTAATAAAGAACTGGCCAATAGCAAGGCAGGAGAAAGGATAGGCGGGGCTGGCAGGTAGAGAGAATATATAGAAGGAGAAAACTGGGAGGAGGGATCTAAAATCTAGCAGCCAGAGGTGGAGGAGGACTCCAGGGGCCGGCCACCCAGCTACACACACAGCAAGCCATGGAGTAAGGGTATGATTTACAGAAGTAAGGAAATAGGAAAAGCCCAGAGGCAAAAGGTAGACGGGATAATTTAAGGTAAGTAAAGCTGGCTAGAAACTAAGCCAAGCTAAGGCCAGGTATTCATAATTAAGAATAAGCTTCCGTGTGTGATTTATTGGGGAACTGGGTGGCAGGCCCCACAAAAGAGACAAAAACAAACAACAGCCGTTCTTAAGTAGCAGCAGATCCCTGTGGTGGGAACTAGGATGTGCTCAGTTTGATATGTGCTTTAAAGTCTAGTAGCAAGGGATGCTTTTAAGAGATAGTAAGCAGATCTGTCAAGAATCATGCTATGGAGAAAACTGGGAAAGAATCGTATGAACTAATGAAATTATCAACCTGTGTGTCTGGAGAGAGATTTCTTTATATACAATTTACATGAAAGGCCAGGTGGATAATGAAAAGTACCCATGTTATAAAATTGTTAAAAAAAATCCAATGATCATCATCTCAAGTCATAAAGATCAGATAAAAATTGTTATCTGTCAGTGTTGGAGACCTACTGTGTGAAAGGATGATAAACGGTGCTGATTACCTGCGGAAAAGTCACGAGCCACGGCCACGACTACCTAGTTACAGAGAGTTTTATTGGGAGGAAGTGGGGGGAGAGGAGAGCCAGGCCTGGAGAGAGAGAAAGATGGTGGGGGGAGGGGAGCAGAGCAGAGAGAGGGTGGGGTCTGCATCCGGCTTTTTAAGGCTCAGATTGTGTGACCACGCTGCCAGCCAGCGCATACTGATGATGCAAGACTCAAGACCTCCCGCTCAACTCCTGAACTGCGCATGCGCAGCCATGTAGCTGGCGTGAGGGCAGAATTCTAGCACTGTGTGCCGTGCACATTGCATTTATTATCTTTGATTTTCAGAATATGGCACTGCTGAAGATGTATGAATGGCTAAGAAAGCTCCTGAAAGGCTGCTCAGTCTCATTAGTCTTTTGAGAAATGCAGATGACAACCAGAATGTGCTGTTACAGGACACTCATTAGAATGGTTGTAATTGAAACCCGTGACCATCCCATGTTGAGGATGTAGCAAACTTCACACGTTTTTTTTGGTGGGGAGGGAGATGCTAAATAGAACATTTTGAGATGAAACTTATACTTAATCATACAACCCAATAATTCCGTTCCTAGCTATCTACCAAGGAGAGAAGGGTATATATTTTCACATAAGATTTGTGAACAAATGTTCAAAAAAGAAAATAGGCATGGACCAAGGCTACTCTCAACTTTAGAGAAGCATCTGTTTTCAGTGATCAGTTCTTAATGCAGAACTCACAGCTGCCTTAGAGAGTAAGTGATGGATGAGGGCTTAGCCCTAAATCATCCATTTTCTACCTTCTCTGTGGCAGGGAAAAATCACGGAAAAAGAGACAGAATGTTAAAGCTGGAAGACAGAAAGGCAGAGCAACCCTTTTTTTTTTTTTTTAAAGATTTATTTATTTACTAGGTATACAGTGTTCTCCTTGCGTGTATGCCTGCCCACCAGAAGAGGGCATCAGATCTCATTACAGATGGTGAGCTACCATGTGGTTGCTGGGAATTGAACTCAGAACCTCTGGAAGAGCAGCCAGTGCTCTTAAACCTCTGAGTCATCTCTCCAGCCCGGCAGAGCAACCTCGTAGCCACAAGATAACTCATGTAGTCACAAACTCACAAACTGAGCAGTTGCAGTTACTTGTGCTTGGCTTGCACAAGACAAGCCCTCAACATTCAGTCATGGGTGGGGAAGCGTCGCTGAACCTACCTTTGCTGAGGATCTTTGGCCACTGATGGGACTCTGGCAGATGGGGAGCCACAGCCTTCAGCTGTGTAAACTCGTGGGGTTCCAGTGAATTGTTCTACTCTAGAGACCATGAAGATGGCTCTGGCCAAACCCAGAGGGCCAAAAAAACAAAAACAAAACCAAAAACCCCAAAGACATCAAATGTGGGGAAGACATTAGTAGGGAAGGGTGGTGGATGGGAGGAAGTGAGTGAGACCCACAGTGCTGTTATCACACTCAAACATTGTTTGTTTGTTTGATAAGGCTCACTGAAGTCTCCTTTGAAGTAAATGTAGAGCTTTGTTCTTCTTTGTAGTTCAGTGATTCTTAGCACTAGCTAAGTGTTAGAAAAGTTGTCAAACAAAGAGGTGGAGCTGGGCTGCGCCCGAGAACAATCCAGTGTCAGTGGACAGGCCATTGCTCTCGTAAAAGCACGTGGTGTCATTCACGTGTGTATCCCTCATGTTGCACGCTTCAGCCCCAGCTGGAGAGTGTCAGTTACTGAAGAGAATCACTCAAGTGTTTGGAGACAGAGTAAGAATGGAGAAGCTGAGTTTCGGGACTTCAGCCTTTACCCGGAGAAAGATAACTCCTGAGTAGTAAGTAGGTCTCAAACTTGAGTCTCACTGGTAATGAGGATAAATACTTTGTAAGCTCTGCAATATCCTTTTCCTATTTTGCAGGAGCTAACATGCTTCCTGTGCCTATACAACAATAAGGAAGTCATTGTTTGTAATTGGAGGCCCTAGGATAGCCTCTGAATATATTTTCTATTCATTGTTGCTTTCAAATCGTATGTTTTAGGTGTTGTAATAGAAAGAAAATGTACTTAGCTTATGAACCTGATGCTACTTATTTGAAATGGCTGTGATAGAATTTGTAAATCTTGGTTTTGTAATCTCCACAGTAGGAGGCTTCATATAGTTGTAAATACAGCTTTTGGTTAAGATTCTTTCTGGAACTGAGACACAACGTATTTTTTTTTGAACAGTCTTATTAACACCTAAATTGTATGCTAACTTGCTCAAAGCTTAGTCAGGAGATACGGTGAGGGATCAGTATTGTCTGTATGTGTTTGGAAGGTGTTTTAGGAATGTAAAGTTAGATTTTTTTCCTTTGTGTGTGTGGGGGGGGGGGTTGTGTGCGCATGTATATGAGTGCATGTATGTGTGTGCAAAAGTGATCCCATGCATGCATTTGTGGCCCCCTACTTGGCCCTGTGAATTATTTCAAAATTGAGTTTATAACTAAACAATGGTTTCATTGCTATAAAGAATATAGCTTCCTAAGATGCCTACATTGAAGTCTAGATTGTATATTGATATTTATTTTGGCATGATTATTTATTTATTTATTCATTTATTTTGTTTATTTTAGTAGAATATTATTTTAAGGTGTATTACTTTCGTTTATGTTGCATTTGTTTAACTCTGTAGAACTGTGTTACTGTGCCTGTCTAAAACACCTGATGGTCTAATAAAGAACTGAACGACCAATAGCAAGGCAGGAGAAAGGATAGGTGGGGCCGGCAGGCAGAGAGGAGAAATAGGAGAAATCTGGGAGAGGGAGAAATGTAGGAGCCAGAGGAGGAGGAGGACTTCAGGGGCCAGCCGCCCAGCTACACAACAAGCCACACAGTAAGAGTAAGACTTACAGAAGAGAATGGGAAAAGCCCAGAGGCAAAAGGTAGATGGGATAATTTAAAGTTAAGGAAAGCTGGCTAGCAACCAGCCAAGGTGAGGCTGGGCATTCATAATTAAGAATAAGCCTCTGTGTGTGATTTATTAGGGAGCTAGGTGGTAGGCCCCTAAAAGAAAAAAGAGTAAAAACTCCCAACAACAGTTTATTTTTGAGACAGGGTCTCTCTGTGTAGCCCTGGTCATCCTGGAATACACTTTGTAAACTAGGCCGGCCTTGAACTTGGCATGATTAAAATAGCTGTTTTTATTATTTTTCATTTCTTAAAGAGAATATATTAAAATAATTGTCAGTGTGTCAGGATATTCCTACCCAGTTGTCTTGAGATATTTTTATTTTCCCTTATATTCATATGAAATATTATTTCTCATTTACATTGGTTTTATTTTTGTATTGTTTAACTGTGAACAAAACGTGCGTGTTAGGAGGTTTTAAAACCCACTAAAAAACTTATTGATGTAAGATGGTGGCTTCATTTCCTTGCAATAGAATCTGTCAGAGAATGGAGCTCAGTGGTAGAACACTTACCTGGCATGTACTAGACCTGGGCTTTAACTCTAGCACTGTAAAAATAGTAATTTTTTTAGCTAATGGATTTCTAATCTTAGTATATCATACCTTCAGTATGGTTTGTGTTAATTTATAAAATTTGATGCAACGAATGGACACTTGGTAGTTTCTTCTTTCTCATTTTATCTGTATCATGTAGCGAAACTGCTTTCATGTCTTGATGAAGGAGCATGCAAGCCAACCACTGCCTCACTGATTGATTGCGCAAATACAGCATTCGGAAATAGAGATTGTCTTTTATAATTCGTTCCCCCTCACTTCTTTAGGAGGAGTGATCACAATTAAATAACTGCTAATCGTAAGTCTGGTACTTCCTGCAGAGTTTGCGTGAAAGTTGTTAAATAAGTCTTCAATTAGCACCTGCCAAAAGTCCGAGACATGTTTTCAGTGACTGCAGTTGTTGTGGTTGGGAGTTTTTAAAGTCAATGTTTTTCTTTGGGGAAAAGTGAAGTTGCTGTCATTGCAGAATTCAGTGTTTACAGGGCTCACAAAGAAACAAGCTAATACAAACACAGAACGTAGTTGAGAGATGCGTGCAGCTTCAATGGCCAGTTCTAAGATGACCCATGAATTAAGGTCGCTCTGTCTTGTGGTAGAATCTTGTTTTTCTCTTCTGATCACCTTAATGTAGATTCATTTCTAGAAGAACTGTTTATGAACAGGGATGATGTCTTTGTTGTAATCTAATTGCAAAAATTATTTGATACTCATCTTGTTTAGGAATAAGCATTTATTCACAGATCATGTATGTGAAATAGACTTGTTGTGATAAAATTATTGTACTGATTTTGTTCTAGCATTTTTGCATAGGTGTATGTATATATTGTATATACTATGTTGGAGATCCTCTCATTCAGTGTGTGATTTTCTATTGTTCAAATTAAGTCCGCTAGGGACTAGAGAAAAGAGCCCTGATTGCTCTTCCAGAGGACCTGGATTCTATTCCCAACACCAACATAAACATCTGTAACTTCAGGGACAGGGGATCTCACATCTTCTGGCTTCCACAGGCACCAGGAAACCATATAGTGCACAAGCATGCATGCAGGCCAAACACCCATATACATTTAAAAAAGGAAAAGTTCAGTTATGGTATCTCGCTTTCAAAATTCTGGAAATTATGCAGGGAAAGAAATGTACAGGGTGCTCCGTGTTCAGCATCTAAATGTAGGCGGAGTTTCTCTGTGTCTCTGCAGCTGCTCCCAAACTGACGCAGAGACTTAATTATAAATGCTCGACTGATAGCTCAGGCTTACAATGAACTAGCTCTTACAACTTAAATTAATATGTATTTCTTATCTAAGTTCTACCACGTGGCTCATGGCTTTCTACCTCATTTCGTACACGTTCTGCTTCCTCTGTGTCTGGCTGGAGACTCCCAAGACTCCACCCTTCTTCCAGTTTGTTCCTAGTCTGCCTCTCCTGCCCAGCTATAGGCAGTCAGCTCTTTATTAACCAATGAGAGTCGTACATTTCTACAGTGTACAAAGACTGTTCCACAGCATCTAAGCACTCTTTGAGAGTCAGTGATCATTATTTCAGAACTCCAGTTCTCCTGTCTTGTATTGCCCTTGTTTTACGCTTGTTAGAGAATAAACTGTCTTGTGCACTTTAAGGCATTGCTGGGTTACATTATACAATGTCTTGTATAATGCAGTTGCTATGTAATTAAAACAGAAGTCTGTACATGTTTAAATGAACATGTTACCCCCTCCCCCCAGTATTTTCTTTGTTGTTGGTTGAATTCAGGGAAACAGAACTAGTGGAAGACTGTTTTTCTGTTCTCTTCTCCTTTCCCCAGTTGAGCTGTGTGTGCTTCTAAGTGGCAGTTTACTCTACTTTGAAGAAATGGAGGGTATGTAGAGACAGGCAGATCTCTGGAGCTAACTGGCCAGCCAGCTTAGCCTATGGGTGAGCTCCAGGTTCAGTGAGAGAGACTATCTCAAAATAATGTGGAGAGCGACTGAGGAAGACACCATATGTGGACTTTTGCTGTCATATATATCCATATACACATACATGTACACATGCACACACACGTATACCACATGAATACATATACCCCACATACATGCATGCATTTCATACACACACACACATACACACACACACACACACACACACACACACATACACACACATACATGTTGGAAATATGGACATGTCTGTATGAGAAAGATATGGAACTTCAGTAAGTCGAAGCAAAAGAATGAGTGCATAGGGATTATACAGGACAAAAAGTCCATACTTTTTATTGCTGTCATGACTTTCTGCTTCAACATCTTCTCAACTAAATGGTCAACCAAACGGTTCTTGATGTATTGAGCGACAGCTTTGTTTCATTGTCAAATACCATGGAGCTGTCCAGTTGTTCTCTCTAAGGGATCAACAGTTGCCGTGTGATGAGCAGTGTTTCCCATTCTTACCTAGATCACTGTTCTTCAGTTCCAGATGTCGACGTGAAAGGCGAGTACTCCAGCTATTACCTCCTGTTGCAAGGCGATGGCAGGACCAAGTGCAGGGCCACACTGCTTCACTCGGCCAGCCAGATCAACGGCTCCTTTGTACTCAGTTTCATTCACGGGAGGATGAAAACAGAGACAGAGGAAGCCAAGTGTAGTAAGTATTCACTCAGCTGGAAGAGACCCGTCCCCACACTTGTTTGTACTTTAATTAATTGACGTGGTTTTAAGTGGAAGGAATAATAATGAAACTCCATTTCTGCCATTAGTTCACCTTTTATTTTTATTTTTTTATATAAAATATTTTGGTCCTATTCTGTCCCCTCCTTCAACTTCTCTCAGATCTTTCTGTACCTCCGTACCTACCAAAGTTCATGTTCTTTCTCTTCCTGCCTCAAAAAAAGGACCAAAAAATAGAAAAACAAAACTCAATAAGGCAGGAAATTCCAAACAAGAACAAAAAGCACATAGCAAACATGGAGTCCATTTTGTGTTGGCAAACCGCTCCTGGCCTGGGCCTGCCCTGGAGTATGGTTGACATACCAGTGACACTCCACCAGAGAAAAACTGGTTTTCCTTTTCCCGGCAGGTATTAATTGCAAATAGCTTCTTGGTTAGGGGTGGGACTTTGCGTCCACTTCCCTGTCTCCATCCTGGGATTTTAATATAACCTTTTTTTTTTTTTTTGGTTTTTCGAGACAGGGTTTCTCTGTGTAGCTTTGCGCCTTTCCTGGGACTCACTTGGTAGCCCAGGCTGGCCTCGAACTCACAGAGATCCGCCTGGCTCTGCCTCCCGAGTGCTGGGATTAAAGGCGTGCGCCACCACTGCCCGGCTTAATATAACCTTTTTATAATTTAAAATGAAGAGAATTAATTCCTTTACAATATACAAAGTAAAGATTAGCTATTAGCTTTTAATTTCAGATACCAAATTGTTAGTGTTTACTGCTTTCAACACTCAAATTTTTTTTATTTCTATTTATTTTCTCTCAAGCCTCTTTTGCTTCATTGATTTTTGTCTTTCTCTTTTCTAAGTTCCATATTTGGTTCTATATTAAGTTCTACGTGTGTGTGTGTGTGTGTGTGTGTGTGTGTGTGTGTGTGTGTGTGTGTGTGTGTATTGGCTGTGTCAATGACATATTATTTACGGACAGGGAGCAGAGAGACAGAAACAGCCCAGGATCCATCACAAGCCAGCCTCCCAAGACTTAAGCTGTATGGTGCACATGGAGTCTTGACTCCTTGTGTCCTACGTATAGCACAGTTGAGGATACCCGAAGGCATCCTTCTCTGGGTTACAAGCTTCAGGGGTCACATGACTCCCTAAACAAAGTACGAATAGCCTTCCCTTGAAGGTGAGAGAGGAGCAAACTCAAGCTTTCCTTTGTGTCTTCTGATAGTGCATTTCCTGCACATTCTAATTATCTGAGAACTGTATACAAGAAGAAAAGAGGATGAGCCTGGATCAGCCACGGCAGTTCTGGAACTGTTGTGTAGTTTTATACTAGATTCATTATGCAAAGAACGGAACGGACAAGGACAGGTGAACCTGTGGCTCATTGTGGGGACTGTGAGAACCTGTACTTAGAAAGGAGAAAATGTTCTGGTTTTGTTTTCTAAGTAGGCAAAAGAGAATACTATGTAGTGAAGTTACCCTGGTACCCATATCCCTCAAGGAATTAAGAGTCAGATCAAAGATTAAAATATTGAACAATTTAGTATGCTCATTTCCCCATGTTTAATAGTTACTTTGAAATGTGCAGCATCAAGAGAGGTGAGTGGTTGGCTTTTATGTTTCTAGTCGTGTCCTAACACACTTCCTAGGAGCTGAATTTTAATTCTTAGCATAGAATATCATTAATGTTGACTTTTTCTTATTTCTTAGGTTTTCCTTTTGACTTCTCATCACTCCCAAGTTTTTCTGAGGAGCAGATTTTACAGAGGGAGAAACAGTTAGCCAGTGTTCAAGTTTTGGCTTTGAAAGAATGCCTGAGTAAGTACCAGTATGGGCATTTGATTCCACCGTAAGAGTGTGGGTCTGTTTAGTGTGAGTCATCTGTGTTTACATACATGTTCCTCTACATGTTGTCTTTTAGGTGTGATCCATAGAGCTGCATGTAAATAGATGACTAGGGTAGATGAGGTCTGCAATGCTATTTTTTCTGCATTCAGAATATCCTGATTGTCAGTATGTGATTGGAAATATTTTCAAAACGTATTTTGCCAGGGAAATTTTATATTTTAAATTTGTATACTTTAAACCATATCTAGAAAAGACACAGAAGTTTGTTACTCTACTTAATGCATCTAATCCTTATGTAGTTTTCTTGAAGGAGGGTAGAGACTGAAAATAGAAGAAAGTGCAAGTCTAGAGAAATTAGTATGGTAACTTGCACATTGATTCTTCAGTTTAACCATCACTAATAACTAATGATAACTGGGCTTAGTTCATATACTGAAGTTAGCATCATGGGTTTTCCTTAGCTGAGAGGCTTAACACTGTTTGTTTAAGAAGAGATCTGATGTTTTTCTTCCATCATTATTATTGAATTGGTTATCAATCTGCATTTTTATAAATATTAAATGTGCAGTGTTGCCTAATAACAATTTGCTTTAAATCACTGATATAAAATTGTTAAGAAACTCCTTAAATTTATGATACTGCTTTAGTTACATAAAGAAGAAAATATTATAAATATATATTAAAAAATAAAACTGTACTCTTTTATCCTAAAGCCTTTTAAATTATATTGAATCCAATGGTCTATTTATTCAATAAGAAATAATTTTAGAATTAATTTAGAATATTTAGAAAAAATATTCACTAGTCAGTTACTCATGTAAACACTGCAAAGTTTTTCCACTTGTATAAAACTAAGGTAATTGTGTGTTAATTTGTAATATTTGTTCAAGGAAAGTGTTATTAAAAAGGAAAAGTTTCAGTGGAATTGAGATAGTTCGGTGGGTAAAGGAGCTGCCACCAGGCCTAATGACCTGAGTCTGTCTCCAGAACTCAGGTGGTGGACGGAGAGAAAAGAAATAAGCACTGTGGCTTGTGCAGTACGTGTCCACACACACACACACACACACACACACACACACACACAGGTAAGGGTGAACAGGAAAAAAAATTTAAACGGTAGTAGATGTTTGCCTGGGGACCTACACGGCTCAGTTGGTAAAGTGCTTACTATACAGTCATGGGAGCCTGATTTCAGATCCCCAGCATCCATGTAGAAGGTGAGTGTGGTAGTGTGCACATGTTGCATTTGAGGGGAGTTGACTCTGGAGTTCATTGGCTGGCCAGCCTAGCCAAGAGATGAACTGCAGATTCAGTAAGAGACCCTACCTCAGGAAAGACCTTGGAGGATAGATAGGCTGGTGAAACGGCCTAGCAGGTAAAGGCATTAGCCAATGTGATGACTATAGTTCTGTTCCTGGGACCTCACACTAGAAGCAATAAACTCACACCTACAATGCCCTCTGGCCTGTACATATACTCCATCCCCCAACACACAAAACAGTTAAATGTTAAAAGAATGTGGAGAACGATGAAGGAATATACCTTGGTCTCCACACATGTATACATGTGTACTTACACTCGTGTGTATACATCACATAAGCATGTACATACAAATGTGCAATTGGCAATCTGAAGCATTAAATCTTGGGGCTCAGATTAATGATCCAGTGAATCCGTTTATGATGATAATCCTTGCTGAACAAATCGCATCCTTTCCCTGACTGGCTTAAAACTTGGGTAGCAAAAAATGCATCTGTACAATTTTGTATTTCAAGAGGCAGAGGAAAGTGAGGGCCAAGAGTTTTCAGTGTATGCATGTCTGGGTATGTTCGTCAGTGATTGTCCCATGGTGAAGTGTGAAGAGAAATGTTTTTAAGCACATTCGTATGTTGTGGAAACTAAAGAATTTAAACAAAAAGATCTCTTAAAAGTCAGTCCTTTGACATAGATAAAAAGCCTCTTTGCATAAAACAAACCTTCAAAAAGATGTCCTTAAAATACCAATGAAATGGGATAGATAGTCCAGTTCTTCCAATATTTCCCTGACCAGTTTCAAATGATAAAGAACTGGAGAGTTTCATAAAAATGTACCAATTAATGATACTATTGAGACATATTATCTTTTAAAATAACATGAATATCAAATAAAGCTTGTTGGAATCTAACTTTCTAAATGAGTCTGTGTTCAGTTTATTTTAAAAAGCATCTGATCTGTTGTATTGGAGTAATGCTATAAAACCTAACTGTAATTTAATATTCCTAATTTTTGTAATTTATAACTTTTATCCTTGGAAAGAGAGTTAACAATACCTCATCTCAGTAGTTTTCAAGAATGCCGAAAAGCTTTTAAACTAGAGACTATGATGTAAATATAGTAAAGCAGTGTTGCTTGCCTCTAGTATTACACTCAGTACACCAGTGTCTTCATATCCTTTAAAAATTCATAGAACCCACTAAAATCCTGATTCATATTCAGCTGATGGCTTTTAGATATTCCATATTTCTCAGTAATGAATTTTCATTACTGCTATGTAGTAAAGAATATAGCATTCCTTTGCTGACCCATTTCAGAGTTTTAAGTTTTTTCCTGAGTGCTTATTTCTTGCTTATATACAAGCTTAGTTTTTTTTTTTTTTTTTTTTGATTTTTTTGAGACAGAGTTTCTCTGTGTAGCCTTTCTTGGATCTTGCTCTGTAGACCAGGCTGGCCACAAACTCACAGAGATCTGCCTGCCTCTGCCTCCCCAGTGCTGGGATTAAAGGAGTGAGCCACCACCACCTGGCCATGTGTTTTTTTTTTTTTTTTTAACCTTTTGTTAAATATGTAGTTCATCACTGTATTAAGCCTCATCTCCTTCTCCTCCTTCCTTCTCAGCTATTAAGGTCAGTGTGCTTTCTTACCCTGCCTCTCAAACGGTGGTATAATTGGAACTCTTCATAGTCGAGGCCAACTCTAATATAGTTTTAGTTAATAAAACGAGGGACTGACTCCTGAAGCTCATTGCTCATTGTGTGTCTTCCATGGGAAAGCAAGCTGTGCATAGCTTTTTCTTTGGAATGACGACCAGTTGATTGTACAGAAGGAAAATACACTGAGGCTTCTGATTTCCTTGCTGAGATCTTACAGAAAGAGATTATTGCAACTCTGATTTTACAGTTAATATCTTTGGCCATAGAAAGCTTGTGTTTCTTACCTTGGGCTGAATCTGCAAGGACCCTGAGAATATCCACATCAGTGAGGTAGGGTGTTCCAGGGCCTGCATCATAAAGCTGATGTTCTAAAGGGGAAGGTGGTTGCTGCCTTCCTACCAACTGCCTTGCATCCTTAATATACACTAGGCTACACCTAGTATAACGTCATACGCCTGAATCCTCTGAGTCTGGGGCCTGGGATGGTGCTTCGCAGGCAGTAAGTCTTCAATGGCTGTTGAATTCCTATCAGTTTCTAGGATAACAGGTTTATTGTAGAAGGAAAATGTGATTCGTCTAGAGTGTTTTTAAAAGATAAGTTTTGTATCAAAGTAATATGTAGATACAGTCTGAAAATTCAGATGATATGGGAAAACTTCAAATGCGGAACGGCAGTGCCTCTCGAAACTTCTTCATCTCTCTGTCTCTCTGTCCACAGGTGCCCATCCTCATCTCTGTCTCTGTGTCCACAGGTGCCCATCCTCATCTCTGTCTCTGTGTCCACAGATGTCCATCCTCATCTCTCTCTGTCTCTGTCCACAGGTGCCCATCCTCATCTCTGTCTCTGTGTCCACAGATGTCCATCCTCATCCTTCTGTCTCTGTGTCCACAGATGTCCATCCTCATCTCTCTGTGTCCACAGGTGCCCATCCTCATCTCTGTCTCTGTGTCCACAGATGTTCATCCTCATCTCTCTGCCTCTGTGTCCACAGGTTCCCACGCTCATCTCTGTCTCTGGGTCCACAGATGCCCTTCCTCATCTCTCTCTCTGGGTCCACAGGTGCCCATCCTCATCCTTCTGTCTCTGTGTCCACAGTTGCCCATCTTCATCCTTCTGCCTCTGTGTCCACGGGTGCCCATCCTCATCTCTCTGTCCACAGATGCCCTTCCTCATCTCCCTGTCTCTGTGTCCACAGATGTCCTTCCTTATCTCCCTGTCTCTGTGTCCACAGGTGCCCATCGTCATCTCTCTGTCTCTGTGTCCACAGGTGCCCATCCACATCCTTCTGTCTCTGTGTCCACAGGTGCCCACGCTCATCTCTGTCTCTGTGTCCACAGGTGCCCATCCTCATCTCTGTCTCTGTGTCCACAGGTGCCCATCCTCATCTCTGTCTCTGTGTCCACAGGTGCCCATCCTCATCTTCCTGTCTCTGTGTCCACAGGTGCCCATCCTCATCTCTCTGTCTCTGTGTCCACAGGTTCCCATCCTCATCTCTGTCTCTGTGTCCACAGGTGCCCATCCTCATCCTTCTGCCTCTGTGTCCACAGGTGCCCATCCTCATCTCTGTCTCTGTGTCCACAGGTGCCTATCCTCATCCTGTCTCTGTGTCCACAGGTGCCCATCCTCATCTCTCTGTGTCCACAGGTGCCCATCCTCATCTCTGTCTCTGTGTCCTCAGGTGCCCATCCTCATTCTTCTGCCTCTGTGTCCACGAGTGCCCATGCTCATCTCTCTGTGTCCACAGATGCCCTTCCTCATCTTCCTGTCTCTGTGTCCACAGATGCCCTTCCTCATATTCCTGTCTCTGTGTCCACAGGTGCCCATCCTCATCTCTCTGTCTGTGTCCACAGGTGCCCATGCTCATCCTTCTGCCTCTGTGTCCACAGGTGCCCATCCTCATCTCTCTGTGTCTGTGTCCACAGGTGCCCATCCTCATCTCTCTGTGTCCACAGGTGCCCATCCTCATCCTTCTGTTTCTGTGTCCACAAATGCCCATTCTGATCTCTGTCTCTGTGTCCACAGGTGCCCATCTTCATCCTTCTGTCTCTGTGTCCACAAAT